TGGAAGCTTAAGCAAATTATTCACCCTTCAGGTTTCTGGATTAATTAAGGTAAGAGTTTAAATCATTTTCATTGCAAACAAATTTAAATAAATGAAATATTAAAAACCTCAACCAATCAAAACAGATTATGGCTAAAAATGTGTAATAAGTTGTTAGATTAATATTTTCTAGTTTATTTAGTTAAATTAAAGGAAATGGAAGTTTTCAAGCCTAGTAGTCACATGTTTTCAGAGCTTAACTAAATTTTATTTATTTATCATTGTACATTTTAAAGTTGCTGTATATATAAAACAATTTGTTTGTTGTAATTCAAGTGTACTAATTTCATCAAAATAATCATGGTAAATATTTGTGTGGCAATATTACTTTTGATGATTGCAAAGCAAGTGCTAAAAGTTGTTTTAACCTGCAAAAGTTCAGGAAATTTCAGGATAACTAGATTTAGGAAAATGTAGATTCCCATGTGTTTGTAATTATTAAATATTTTGTGTTCTATAGTGTCAAGCTGTTCAGAGTAAATTAATGTCTGGTAAAGTAGTATTTCTCAAATTTGTAAAGACAGCCAAATGTTAAAATTTGTCCTTAATTAAAATACTCCAATTTAAAGTAGACTATTAATTGTTTATTGCTAAGAATTACTATTTTAATTATTGTCTACTATCTCAAAGTATTATCTGTTGCCTTTATTGTTTAATGTTCACTGTGTTGTTCAAATTGTTCATTATTATTGCTGTAACTAAAACAAATATTTTTCTCTCTGTAATTAATGTTCAAAAATATGTTTGTCCTTTTTGTATTTAGTGATTGCATATCTGAAAACATATTTTAACTTGAAACAAATATTTAAAGTATGAAATTTGGAATCAAAGATTATTAAATAAATATATTTGTGTTAATATAAATTTAAGAATATGTTACATTCTTATGGAATATCCTAGGGTTTTACCGCTACCGCTATCGCTGGATTCTGGACCTGGACCTGGACTTCCTGGTGTATCGTCCTACCTACTATCGCTGTATCGACTGTCGTCTCAACCTACCGAGGATCTACATTGTTGAAGGACCTCGTGTGTGCCTTAGCCTATGGACTATCGTGGGTCGACCCATTCGTACCAAAAGTAAGAATTTTCCAATTTGTACGATATTTATCTTACTCTGAGACCAACATAACTGCTGCAAACCTACATCATTGAGGATTTCGGACACTTAGTTCTTGGTTGAACGATTATTTTTGCAGTGAATTTGCACTAGTACTAGTGAATTTTGATAGCATCAATAACACAGACAGTGAGTGTGAGATCTACCTACACCTGGACAGGACTCCAACTGATTTTGCCAGAATATCTAGCTGTAATTTTGTTTAGCTTAAGTATTGTTATATTTGTTGGGTATTATATTGTTTTATATGTCATAGTGTATGTAAATGTTCTTATGTGATTTTGATTCTTAGCTGGTGGCCACCGAATTTATTGATTTATATATATTTATACTTGTTCTTGATTTATCAGTTGATTATTCCAAAAATAATTAATCGTTAGTTTGGGTTAATCATTTTTACATTTAGATCTGAAACTGAATCAATCATTAAACTTAAATAATTCTTGGGTTAGATAACAAATATTGTCTTGTGGAATAACTACTGTTGTTGGACAGTCCCTTTGTTATCTTGCTATATCAACTGAAATACTTATCTCTGATAATACATTCCTTGCTTATTCATTCAGTGTTATTTATTTAGTTACCTATGATCTAGACAGTTGGTTCATTTACATTCTTAGAAAATATAATTCAACTTTTTATCAATTTTCACAAATCAATACAGAGTTTATTAAGATTAGAAATTTGACTATACTGCAATAGTTATTAGTTGGTGTTAGATGTATGCAAATTTTTGTCTTCTATTTTGAATGGTCGAGGTTCAATTTAAATTATCAAATATTCCCTGAATATCAGCTACGGGTTCAACAACTCAAGAGTGGAGTTTGACCCTCGCTTCGACTCCAGGACTTCTCCTTTAGCGAGGTGGCGCCCTCAAACTTTGACCAAGAGGAATAGTAGGCCTAGATTGACTATTAAAAATTGCAGGACCACTCCCATCACTGAGTTAGCGGGTAAAAATCGTCGCAGCGGATATGAAAGTAAACAGCTGTAAAGTGAAACTTTTCAATTCTAAGAACTGGACTGAAATGGCTACTTTAAAAAACGGTCGTAGGTAAAGTGTATTTTTTAACTTTTTATACTTAAATGTATTATTTATAAATGTATTTGAACATTATTTGTATGTTTTGATGTAAATTTTGTATTTTTGAAATTTTTTAGTTTTCCTGCGAAGTGATCTGAAGGAAAGTGGTAATTGAGTTTAAGTTGGGACGGAAACTTATTGTTTTGATCAATATAATTTATTCTCTATAGCCACCAGAACAATGAACAATCATAGGGAAATCCACTTGCAAGTTGTACAGATATGCTAATGAGTGGGAAACATACAAACATTTTATCGTAAGTGATTAATCTTACTCAAGATCAGTTTTTGACGTTCAGCAGTACCAAATTTTACCTTCTCGAGATGGCGAGTACGCTGGGATATGTGGAACTACAATTTATCAGTGAACTATACCCTAACTATTTTTTTGGAGTACACAGGGAAGTTGCTTGAGAAACTGTGACTTACGATTTTGGTTCTGGCGAAGAAGTATGTGACTTGATGTTTAAGTGGCATGTTGACTCGGGTCATTATAGCGTTATAAAACTTTATCATTAACCCTAGGGTGTAAAAAGTACAAAAAGAAGAAGAAAAGGTAATCATTAACCGGGCGTAAAGAGACATACAGAACGAAAAAACACATAGAGAACCATCGAACTAAAAAGGTAAAGAGCAGTGATTAAATTGACAGCTAAAGGGTGTCAGTAAGACAAGAATCTACAACTATTTGTGGTTCAGGAAGGACTGTACTAACATCTTCCAACACTATTAAAGATGTCCCAGGCTTAGGTGGACGTTGACAAGGTCATGGGCTGAAAGCCATTTGATGGAAGGACACTTTCTGCTTTTGGGATTGTAGATCGTGGAACAGGAGCTCTTGCATTGACACATTTTGCTGGTTTTATGCACTCAATGCCACCCATGGCGTGAAAAGTTCCATGTCCATCAAGTGTTTTAACGTTGTAATCCGCGTTGTCGAAAACATACTGAACGTAAGCGCATCTATTGAAGGTGAGACATTATCAGCTATCAAAGTCTCGAAATTGACGACCTTCTTGTATGTCGAGCAAACTCCGAGCTACGATAGAATGTCTAACAGCACCTTGTCAAAATGAAGTACTTACTACCCAACAATTTTTGGAAGTGGTCTGAGATTGATATTTGAAAAAATGTAGAAAAAAGTTGGGGGGACAATTAAAACTCACCCTGTAGATCAGCTGAAGACAATTTTATTGTTAGTTCCGTTTGGTGCACTGTAGTGGTCGTATTTTTTTTTAAAATTGGTTTCTTGTTATTTCAGTCATTTAAAACCTCGTCTTTTAAAACCCCAAATAAAATGATCGAATCATAAACAACAACTCGTCCCCTAGTAACCAAACAGTTAAGCTCAAATCATGAAATTAACTTTAAAATAGGCCTAATAGAAACAAAATTTCGTCAGCACTAGCACCCAACATGAGTCAACAGAGTCACCAACATGAATTAGTCACGAAATTTTATCAGTTGGTTGGTCTCAGTAAACCTCCAAATGTTTTATAAATGTTGTCATATTTTCAGGACTTTGATTAAGTTTCAAATAATGTTTACTTTGCAAAATTAATCAACAATATAGCTATCAAAGCCTCTAGCCAAAAAATATCAATGAACGAATTACAGCTTGTGACACGTAAGCTGACACTTGGGCCTGGCGCTGCCAGTGTAGGCTTTGGGAGGGTGGAGGTAATGAAAAGACCGGACTGCAAACATTTTCACCGACTCGTCGGGTTGACTCCCCGTCTTTCGTGTAATTGAGCGCCTTCACGTGGGTCGGGAGGACAGTTGACGCAACCCCCATGACAGCACATAATGTTTTTCAACTAGGCTGGTAGCGACCGGTCAAGTGCCAGCTTGCATGTCACCAGCTGTAAATACTTGTGATTTTATTGCATTTGTATAAATGAAATAGGTCCTTTCTATTTCCAATCCCTTTATTGATATATATAAAATCTAATTCAAATTGTTGGACGATTTAAATTATTTGCTGGTCTCTAGGTTTTTTAACCATCCATGTTCAGATGTAAGCCTCATTGTGTTCAAAAATATTATAGAAAATGTTACAATCATAAATATTGGAACAAGTAGCCCTACCACAAAGTCTTTCCTCTCTAGCTAAAACTAATAAACTATACCATTCCAACCAACCAAAACTTCTACATTAACTCCAAACAGCAAAGGCATATGTTTAAGTCCAAACTTCTGTATCCAGACTAATTAGGTACTTTAAACTGAACTTATTTTGTAATAAATAGTATATTTCATCACTAGGGCGTATAGTGACTCAATTCAACCAGAGCTCAAGTTTCACGACCGAGGCGAAGCTGAGGTCGGAAAATGAGCAAGGGTTAAAAGACACTTTTTGTGTACATTTTTTTGTAATTTTGGAAATTTTGCTTTATTGTTTAACAAAACTAAGGTGGAAAACGAAAATACTTTTAATGTAAAGATAACCTCTCAAAACGACTTCCAACTTGATTCTAATTTTGCTAATAAAAACAAGCAGCTATTGGGTAATTGATTTAATAATTTTGTTTAGTATAACTGTATTAGTGTACATTATACTATTGATGTGTCAAACTGTTGACAAGAATTCAACACAGCTACAGCTGATTAAATCAACCGATACATTATTTTGTTGCATATGATTGCATACAATCAAAGTTTACAACAGCTGATTTTTACTCCCTAGGGAGAGCTTCTTTAGACCCACAACCCACTTATAAGTTCATTACTCTGCAGTTTACAATAACATTAGCTCACCTGAATCTTCAGTGACTTGTTCAAACCTGAAGTTCTTTCCCTTGGAATGTGGGCTATCAGTTTGGTCTGTCAGAAACTGTAACTCGGAAGAAGACAGTTTTTCTCCAAGTTGTCGTAAAGCAGTTAAAATCTCCATCTAAAGAAGTTAAAAAACACCACAAAGTTTTATCAAAATAATTTTAAGACCAAATTCACAAGTGGTTTTGAGTGCCCCTGCATTTATAAAATAATTTATTTCTGAATAATTATAGAAATTAACGTAATTAGTGTAGATAGAACAATTCTGAATTTGTTTTAAGCCCTAGACTCCTTTTTGGTTTTGACCTAATATCTTTCAATCACAAATTAGGATCCTTAAAAGGTCAAATTAACTCCTAAGAAATGTTTGAAAAGCCTAGTACAGGCAGCACGGTTTCTGTAGTGACAGCTGACTTATTAATTGTATTTAATTTGTTAACACATGTTATGATTATTATTTGTTGTTATGGATGACCAAGTACCCTAATGTTCGGTGGGAGTTGTGACAGGCATTTAATACTTCATTAAGGTTATCTGATTAAAAGATAGGGCATTTGCCAGGAATTGTTAAGGGAATTGACAGGAAAGCAGGCTTAGCTTAAAATACTGTAAGTCCATTAAGAGATACATATAAATAACGTGCTGCTTTATAATTTATAGGTCTACAATTTTTTTTTTTAATAGCCACTTTGTTTTTAATTTTATGAGGATTCCAAAAATATAATAATATAAGGAAGTAGGTTTGAAAATAAATAAGTTATGGGTGAAAAACAGATTTCATACATTTAGCGTTAGCTAAGAATTAGGGATGGTCAAGTCTCGAAATTTCGGGAAATTTTCAATCTCGTTACACGAGACGAGATTACTTTTTGGCCGAGATTTTTATCAAGACGAAAATAAGAAAAAAAAAAAAAAAAAAAAATTAAAAACGCCTGCAGAAAGTCAATGCAATACCCGCAATACAGGAGCGTGTTGTAGTTGCGTTTCCTTTTCGAAGGCGTTCTTATTTAATTAATTCTTTTAATGTAAATATTACTTTCATTATTTTAATAATATTACTTTAATAACATTTGAGAAGTTTTGTTAAGTGTAAGCAGTGTGAGGAATGTTTTATTACTATAAAAAAAGTCAAAACAAGTAACTATTTTATAAAAATTAATACTGCTTTTATTTTATGATTTATTTTATTTTAGGATAAGTTGAACTCTATCCTAACTGATATCACCATGTTTCCTAATCGTAGGCATTTTTAATAAGTTAGGCGTGATTAATAAAAAAATGTTATGCTGATGTTATTTAATGAAAGATTGTAAATATTCTTGCCTATTATCATTATTTTAGTATTTAAACAGTCATCTAACAATGTTACAAAATCAGGTAAAAATTTCGAACGTGCATTTCCCGTTGTGTATGAGAAGAGAAATCTCGTCTCGATCTCGTCTCGAAATTTTATGAGAAATAAAAAATCTCGTCTCGTCTCGTCTCGAACTAAAAATCCAATCTCGTCCATCCCTACTAAGAATGCATAGCCTAACCATAGCTAGGAATCTGGCGGATAATTTACATCAATATCACTACCAACTTCTTCAGGATCATCAACCAGCCCTTCAAAATCACTTAAATCTTCTTATAATGCACCACGTATATCACAACATTTTATTTTTAACACTAAAATAATGATAAACGTAATAAAACACATCAGTCATCGGTGCGAGGTTAACCAAGTTGTTTACAAATACGCACGTAATCTGTCTGCTACAATATATTCGGAACTAAAATGAAAAACGTCTAGAAACAGACATCGGGAGAAAGCTTAGAATCTGCTGAAAACAACGATACCAATCTCGATCCAGTTCAATCTGATTCAGTCAGTCCCAGAGCCTTGCCGTAAACGATGTTTGGGTGTCGCAAAAGCGACGCATAACACCACGGCGGGTGTGTTGTGCGTCGCTTACGCGACGCTTAACACTCGGAGGGTTAAATCTAACATTTTTTACCCAGCTGTTATTTTGAGCTCACATTTACGGTATTGTATTCTACTAAATACCTGGGGACCAAGCTTTGCTCGGGGGAAATCATTAGTTTACTCTGACACCAGTCTTAGTATTGCAGATGCATGCTAACTGCCACAAATGGTTCCCACATTTTAAACTGCTCGCCTTTACTACTTCCATCACCACTTCCTACGTCGTAGACCTGTTTCCCTCCCTTTCTATAACATTTAAGTATTGCATATACATTAATCCAACTGCTACAAACGGTTCCCACACTCCGCACTCCTTCCCTTTACTACTTCCTTCACCACTTCCAAAAAGTCAAGGACCTGTTTCCCTCCATTCCCATAGCAATTAAGTATTGCACATATTAACCTAACTGCCACAAACGGTTCCCACACTCCGCACTGCTCGCCTTTACTACAGTACTTCCTTTACCACTTCCTACATCATGGACCATTTCTCTCCTTTCCCAAATCATTTTCCTATATCAGATACATCAATCTTATTGCCACATACGATTCCTTTTTTGAACGAAAAATAGTTTATATAGTAAAATATAAATTGTCCAGTGGTTGAAAACTCGACCAAAAATATGTAATGTACAGACTTCTCTTTTTTCACCCCACACTGTAAATAAAACATGTGATTGGATTTTTGTTTGGTTTTTCTGTTTATATTCTGTTGTTATTTTGTCACCAGCATAGCAACCCATAAGGCTCATGTTAATTTTTTTTTTAATTTCAAATTCATATTTCATGCTTATTTTTTTAGCCTATTTTAATTTATAAAGGGATTCTGCACATCTACAGGAAAATATCTTTCATTTGGTACCAACCACGTGTAATTTGGTCCAGTAGTATGGACAGGCTAGCTGTCGCAAGTTTTGCAAAAGTTTTTTAGTATATAAGATGGGATTTAAAAACGTTTTAATACTCCTCATCTTATTTCTCTGAATCTTGAGTGTTTAGTAGGAGTTACATGGTATTACACCTAAGAAAAATTTGCCAATGGTGTACTTTCTACATCCTGTAGCTCCTAAACAATTAGGTTTAAAGAGAAAATTCAACGTGTAAATAAGTCTTAAAATGGCATCTATATTCTAAGACACATTCTAAAATACAGTGTTCCAATTTTAAAGTTAGGTGGTGATTTAAAAAATTCCGCCCATTTATGAAACAATAGAATCAATATTAATGTAGGCCTATTTTATGATCTTTTTTTAGCAAATTAACCATATAGGGAGTAAGCTATTACCGTAGTACTCATGGTAAGACCTGGACCCAGTACCGATTTAATTTTCCGTTTTGAGGTCCCTAGAGGCCAAAAACACCATTCGTTCAAATTCATATATGTGTCCAATAGCGCGATAACTGAAGCAAAAATTATCCTCGATTTTGATGAAATTTGGCTAAAACGAATAAACCTTTATTTATTCAAACGAGTACGCAAAACAGCATGATCGGAATATGGGGATGGGTGTTTATGGGGTGAAAATTGGTTTTTACCATTTTTGACCCTAAAAACAAAACATTTAGCAAATTCTTTTCAAACCATATTGTAGAGTTAAAAAAAAACAAATAATTAAGTATATTAAAGCGTTACTATGCGCCTAATGGTTACGGAGAAAATTCCAAATTATTGTAAATTTAAAATTCTCATGTTAATTTAAAGGAGAATAAGTAAAGTGTTGTAGTTTGCTTGCTTGTTTATGAACATATTTTGATCAAATTTGGAAAATACATTTGTTTCTTACTATTAACATTTTACAAAAGAAAAAAAAAACTTTTTTACCCTTGCTGTTGCAGCAAACTTAAGTACTCCTTAAACTAATTCTATTTAAATAGGGAATAAATGAGATATATTTTTTTAAGGAGACATTTTAGTGTAGATCCAATCAGGCAAATGGAAATTCGCTTAGTCTAAAGGTTTGCTGCGCGGGGATATTTTTATATACTTTGTGTTCACTCCCCAAACTTACTCGTATATGAGCTACAGGATGCAGAATGTAGGCCTACACTGCAAGCTATTTTTTATTCGGTGTAACACACTGGTAACTGTTAACCAAGTAGCTTTATAGAAAAAATGTAAATAATAAAAACATTTTAACATCACATTTATATTCTAAAACAATCATAAAATACAGGGTGTTCCATAAAAAGTTGGCAGCCATATTATAGGAAAATGGCACTCATCTTTTTAAAATTTGAAACCATCCCAAAACAACATAGGCCTAGTAGAAAGTACCTCCGCCACAGACAACCAGCAGACCAAACAACAAATTTCCATCTGCCTGACTTGATCGTAACTTAAATCTAATTACATAACATTAACATTAGGTTTAAGGGTGTGTTTTTTTTATAAAATATTGCAAAATTCTATGTTTTAAGGGTCTAAAATGGGACAAATCAATTTTCACCCCATAATATCCCGTTCCCATGGTCCGACAAACTCATTCCAAGTTTATCCTGTCCTACACCTTCAAGCCAAATTTCATCAAAATCGGACAAAAATTACTAGGACAAAAGTTATCACGTTCACTGATATATATACAACCACACACACAAAACATTTTGAACGGATAGTGTTTTTGGCCTCTGGATGCATCAAAATGAAAAAGCAAATCGGTCCCGGATCCAGGTCTTACTACGAGACCTACGGTAAAAGCGTATTCCCTATATTGGAAATTGTCTAATAAAGGAGAGTTCTCCATAAAAAGTTAACTGCCCTCTGCATAGTAAAAAAGTTATATTGGTTCACTTTAGGTGAGACAACATGTACCTATATGCCATAAAATACATAAATCAACATAACTCACGAAAGGAGTAAAGGACATTCATAAACAAATTTTACAATTGTCCAGTCTAAAGGAACATTGATAACCTGTTATCTTCTAAACTTACATTGTTCACTAATGACACACTGTTGGTAGAGACAAATAATTAATTGCAAATCCAAGTTAAAATGTGATTTTTATAATTAGATTTATTTAAACGGAATACTACAATGATTTGATGTCACAGTAAATATCAAGACAGTATAATTTTAATCAAATTTGAGTATACAGGGTCTCCCCTATACGAGTACCTAGGTTTGCGGCTACAAGGAAACTAATAAAGTGTGTTTTTAGTAATATATTAGCTTAGTATAAAATAAATAAATTTGCCAAGTTTGATCAAAATATATCAATAAATTAACAAACTACAACATTTTACAATACTCTCCATTGGAATAACATGAGAAATTTCTCTGTTACCAATAACTGTACAAAAACACTTCGATATATTAAATTATTTGTTTTTGAGCTCTTTAAAAAGGTCTAGTGATAAATTGGGAAATTTTGTGCTTTAAGGTTCAAAAATGAGAAAAACCTATTTTACCTCATAAGACGTATAACCCCGTTCCTATGGTCTGATTACGCTGGTTCGAAAACTCATCCAAGTTTTTTCCCGCCTATAACGAATGGTGTTTTTGGCCTCTGGGGACATCAAAATGAAGGTCCTGGGCTTAGGTCTTACCCCACCTACGGTAATAGCTACTTTCCTATAGGGAAATTCGCTAAAATTATGACAATTTTTCAAAACTCATAAAACAAAATGGCGCCTATTTAAAACTTGTGTAAAATCAACGGTTATTGAATTATTTAAGATAACAAAAATTTTAATAGCCGCCATGAATGTTTTATGAATTTAAAAAATTGTCATAACTTTGGCGAATTTCCCTATAGGGAAGTAGCTATTACCGTAGGTGGGGTAAGACCTAAGCCCAGGACCTTCATTTTTAAATTTTTTTTGTAGCTTTTCCTAGTTGTCATAAATGTTTGTGCAAAGTTTCAATAAATCTTTAAGGGGAGCACTTGGCCCTATGCCCAACCATGTTAACAAAAGTACCTTTTCAGGGTGTCCACAGAAATTTTGTCATTAATTTCCCTGACTTTCCATGACTATCCATGACCATTAACCATTGATTTCCATGACTCACGAACTTTACTAAAAAATTATAATATATCGTAAACACACAAATAATACTGCCTAGATAGAAAATACTAAAATATGTATTAACAGATAACAATGTCGTACAACAGGTACAACAACGAACTAAATACAAACTCAAAACCCATAAACTAAGACAACTGTATAAATTGAATTGTCGTACATTTGTGAAAAATTCAGAAAAATGCTACAATAGTCGGGGTTACGGCCCACTAGATCATTGAAAGGACCTCTGAAATCCATCCATCATTGGGGATTTCCATGACTTTCCATGACCTTTTGCCTATTTCCATGACTTTCAATGACCAGAATTTTTTTCCATGACTTTCCATGACTATCACTGACTTTCCAGAATGTGGACACCCTGCTTTTTCTCAAAAACTATATGAGATATCATTATGATTTTTTAAAATCTTTAAACCTTATACTTTGTTACACAAATAGAAGTAAACTAGTTACCCATTAAATATTAGAAGTATTTTTTTTTTTGTATCCATAGAAACGTCCAAAAAAAGTATTATTTTTTTATATTTCTTTAATTTTTAAATTTATTATTATATGACTTATGACATTAATTTTACTTACATTTATACATTTCATATAGATGTACTTGGGGAAAAAATTTCAAGGAAATGGCATAAGTGGTTTTTGAGAAAAAGGTACATCAAGTTTGAAAATATTGATTTTCGGAAAACGAACAATAAAAGAGCCACTGCAACGACCCTTGAGCACAAAAATCGACCCTGCATAAATTTGTAAAAAAAAATATTTTTAGCACTTTTAATTGAGATATCGTAATAAAATAAACGCCATTTTATTAAGAAAAGTCCATTCTTTTAAATAAAAAATAAATAAAAAAATTTAATTTTTTTCATATTTTTAGCCAAGTGCTCCCTAACAACTACTATTTAGAACAAATAAATAAGTGAAAAAAAAAAAAAAAATGGCGGCTGAGAGAGTAACTAAGGAATTCCGGAGAATTTAAATATGATATTTAGATATTTCTTATTTAGAAACAATGCCCTAAAATATTGGTTGAGAGTTCTGGGTCACCCTGTATATTAATTATTGTTACAGTGATAGGTCTATGGTTGTGCACACAGAGAAGTAAGGTACAGAGGAAACTTCCTTATGGGACGACCGTGTGCTTTGAGCTCTAGTGTATGTTGTGCCGGAAATATACTCGTCACAAGCAAGGAAGAGCCTGAGCAGCGAGCGCTGTGCAGAAATTCTTATTGCACAGGACTCAGAGTCTTACTCTACCTTGAGCGTTGTAGTAAATGAAGGCAAGGGGGTGTGGTTGGGCTTTGCCCTAGACACCAGCGACTATTGCTAGACACCACTTGAATGTTTCCTCTGTACGTCACTTCTCTTGTGTTGTGCAGTAATGACTGATGAACTATACCTTTTCTGAGTTTGCTGCTTTAGCTGACATTTTCCCAAGTTTTAGGTCACGTTCTATCACATGCAGACGCTCACGCAGCTGTAATGGCTCTCTACGGGCAAACATTCGTATAACAGCCGGCGTTTGGAATGCTTTACTTATGGCAGCTTGAGTAGCCTACAATGAAGAAGATTTAGTTAAACAGGATAATAACATAGAACTTTCACAATTGTTTCTCATTGCTCATAAATCGTCTGACCTAAAGGTGTTAAGTTAACAAATTTCTAAATTTTTTTTATTGGATTAGGTACTAAATTATAAATGTTATGTCATATATTTATATGTTATAAATAAATCCTACTCTACTGTCTAAACATAGTGATTAGATAGTACAATTTACAATGTTCGCTTTACTATGTAGTTATGATGCTAAAAGGTTAAGCATTAGTTTACAGATGCCATACCTATCTAATGTTGAAATATTATGTTGATATATAGATTTCAAGTCAAACAACAATAGACAGGAACTTCAATATTATCATTGGACAATAAACACTCGGTTAAAAGTTACCGGATAATCGGATATAAAATACTTTAAAATTATATTCATCCGATCCAGGAGGAGGATAAATCTACAAGTATACATGTATTGTATGGTTGGCAAATCATTCTGAAAAATAATGTGGGAGTTATGGGGATCAAAGTGGTAGCCTAATAAATAAAATTCATTTCCTTTTTGCTCCTGAGCTGTTGTACATAAAAGTGAAATCCCTCACTGAGTGACTAATTCATCACTAATTCTCCATCTTCCAGGCTAGCTTAAGGTTTAAATTGGGTAGGATTCATTACTTAGGCCAAAAATAGGAAATTTAAATATTTTCTACAGTTCCAATGGTATTCATAGCGACATTCAATTATTTTCTACTAACAGAGCACCCATCCTTCGTACGGGGTTGGCATATAAGTATAAAATGCTTATTGCAGTCAAGATTTGCGTTTGCAATGGGGGAGGACAAAGTTTGATAAAATTTTGTTCTTTAAATTTATGGTATGATATAGTGTAACATTATCTACCATAGCCATAATGTTCTACCACTGCACCTAAGCAATAGAAAATATAAATGATCAAACAGTCACACAATATCACAAATTATTCATTAAATTAAAAACATAAACATAACTGTAAACAATCCTACTTTGACAGTTCTCATTGTGTATCACAGTTTTTTGTTGCTGCTTGGTTCAAATTAGCTGTTGTTATACATGCAAAAACAAAATACTAATAGTGCACCCTGTTGGGAAACCTTATAACTTTTTTATCACTCTTCACCGAAAGTAACTATTTTCGATAACAGCTGACATCAATGAAAGTAGTCGTTTCCCAAGCTCTAATTTAGGGCGAGGGAAAATCGATCAGCTGATTTTCCCTCGCTCTAAATTTACTTTCCCTCGCTCTCAATTAGTTTTCCATTTATTCACTACGCGCGCTAGTGTTTTGTTAAGGTTAAACTTAATGATTTAAATCAGCTGTATGTATTGTTCAAAATCGTTTTATTCTTTTATTTTGATGTTTGAAGCATTGAGAAATGTACGAAGGTTTCCTTTAGAATATTTTATTTTATTTTTATGTTTTAAAAATTAAATACCCCCGCCGCAGCAAACCTGCCGACTAAGCGAATTTCCATTTGTCTGAATTGATTTTCAGTTAAATATATTTTAATAACATTAGGTTTAACGAGTACCTAGGTTTGCTGCTACAAGGAAACTAATAAAGTGTGTTTTTGAGTAAAATATTGATAGCTTAATACATAATAAATAAATTTGCCAAGTTTGATCAAAATATATCCATAAACAAGCAAACTACAACATTTGACAATATTCTCCATAAGAATAACATGGGAATTTTAAATTTACAATTTTTTTAATTTTCTCCGTTACTAACAATCGAACAAAAATGCTTTTATATACTAAATCATTTGTTTTTTTAAGCTCTTTAAAAAGGTCTAAAGAGAAATCGGGAAATTTTGTGTTTTGAGGGTCAAAAGTGAGAAAAACCAATTTTTACCCCATAAAACCCCCCGTAAAGCCCCGTTCCCATGGTCCGATCGTGCTGGTTCGCGAACTCATTCAAGTTTATCCCGCTTTACACCTTTAAACCAAGTTTCATCAACATCGGACAAAAATTACTCAGGTTATCGCGTTCACGGACGTATATATATATATATAAGTATATATATATATATAAGTATATATATCTTTATAGACTGCAGGATAACACTACCTACCGCATTGGATTGCAGGATATTACTCCCCGCGAGGTAGCAAAGTTTGGTAGCGTTATGCCTGCATTTCAAACACTTGGAAGCCGGGATAACACTACCTAACACTCAGATTGCAGTATATCACTACCTCACTCCAATTTTATTGTTTTTCACCATATCACTACTTGCAGGCTTAATACTACCCAGTGATACCAACTCCTAAAATCTTTTAGACGCTAATATGCTTTGTTTGTTTTGTCTAACTTATTGATTATGATAAAACGGCAATTTTTAAGAGACAAATTTATCCTAAACAGTTCAAGATGTTGAATTACCGGTACTGAATTACAAAACATAAAATTATTTAGTTCTCTAATATTGAGTTTAATTTTAGACATATTTGTTCAATTCTAATCACAGTTATATAGAAATCGGTGTATTACGTGACAGGTACGACAAAACTTGTGTGACATAAGGTCGGCGCGTCTTTCGCCTAAGTATTATATGGTCAACGTAACATATTTTGAATTAATCAATCAATAATTTGAATTATGTCCATTAAATATATGACCTTTTGTTACCCACAGTTTTTATTATTTTTTTCGACTATTTGCCAGGCTATTTACAAATAATTTGAAGACATATCAACATTTAATTTTTTCAGTCGAGTTTAATGAAGATTTTAAAAATAGTTAAACGGTTCTTAGTCCAATTATTTGAAGTTACACTAAAATATAGACGAGCTGATTATTATTTTAGATAGTTATGTATATCAATTTGATATAATTGCTTGAACTGAGTCTTGGGTGGATGAATCAAGTGGGAATGTGAGTATGGATGGTTATAACGTGTTTATGTACAAAGAAAGTAGAAATCGTAATGATGGTGTGATTGTTTGTGAAAAAGTATTTTTCTGCGTGCATGGAGGAGGTTGGTATTATGTTTTGTTTGGTATTAAGGTTGGTAAATGTTTTGAGCAACATGTGTTAAAGCATAGACAAAAAGGACTAAATAAAGACCGTCAGCTGTGCTGCGGTTACCATAGACACAACACTGGGAGCACCATGTATGTACGCGCTACGTAACTACGCGGCGCTCCAAGCGGTGTGCGCCAGAACCTATGGTAACCATGGTAATCACAGCAAGGCTGACAGTCTATATTTAATTATTTTTGTATATGGTTAAAGTAGAGGTAACATTTGGCGGTGCGCGGCTTTCCCTGTTATCGGTGTACAGGAGTCCGTCTAGTGATCTACAGTATTTCCATTTATCGACGACCTTGAAGCCTACTTAGGTTAATAGGGTATAGGAAACACTGGCTGGTCGAACGTCTGGTCGGCGACATTAATTGCTGCATTTTGTCAAAAAAAGCTAACAATATCTCACACCACTACGTGAATGTTTTATATGGTTCAGGTTTTATTAGTTGTATCGATGTGCCAACCAGAGTTACAGAAGAAACAGAAGGCTATCTGGAACATTTTTTCACCGACTGTAAAAATAATAACTTCATTAAATCTGCTATTATAAAACGTGCTCTAACAGATCATTTTTTCATGGTTGCACAAATACAAGGTCCGAAAGATTTCTCAAAAGCTACTTCAGATTTACAAGCCAAAATAGAGAAAACTTTTTTAGATTTTTCTGTTGGAACCCGCCTTATCTTTGATACGGCCTGGTCTGTTATGTTCAATAAGGTACAAGAAATTATTTCGATGTTAAATTCTTAATAAAAATAGGTATTTTTTACCTTTGTCTACAGCTCAAACTGTTGTAACTTGAGTTACGGCCATAACTTGAATTTACGTCGTTTCAATCCGAGTTATAATGCCGAAACGGCCGTAACCCAAGTTACAACAGTTTGAGCTGTAGACAAAAGTAAATATTTATTTTTAATTATCATCACAGCTCAGGGGCAAAAACATAGATTTTAAATTCTTAACCTTTAGAACAACGCATATCTTTGCACTCGGGCCCTGTCAAAAATAGGTATTGCCTTTTTAGTCAAAAATACTACGAAGTAGTTTGCAATCAGAGCCAAAATAAGCTTTCCCCTACAAAAACGTTATTGAATTTTTTTAAACTGCAAATGCTAAAGCAAGAGCTTCCTTTTATAAAATAATAGTGGTTTAGTTACCTTTACCTTCGTACTATATTTGTCTTACCAGTTCAGGGGCAAGCCACAACAATGAGTAAGCTTCCTTTTCTATAATTTGTGAATAGCTTCGCTCAGCTGTTGAGAATGTGCGTGACTGATACGCTATCAGGTTCTCTACACATCTGGTAAGACAACACGGGTCCCAGGCCTACTGAGCTAGCGTCTACGGACAATTAGAAAGGTAAACTGTTGTCTTAAAGAGCCTAAGTAGGAGTGTTCAGGGCCTTTTACCTTGTCAAAAGCCTCAATACGACATTCTCTTAAAATTAAAGGATGTGTGTACTTCATAAGCAGGTCGTAAATTATGACGTAATGTAGTGGAACTAATATGAAATGACATATGGCTTCGACATAAGCCCCTAAAACGCTCAAAAGTAAAACAAATAATTGTAATATTTAAACAAACTCGGAATCAAATTTAAATTATCTATGTGACAGGGTAGATATCTCAGTACAGTAGAACATATCTTTTGTGTAAAAAAACAGTTTGTTGTTTGTCTTTGTTTGCTTTTGTTGATATTATTTTCAACTAGCTGTGTGCCCGTCCTACGTACGGGAATCTTGTAGTAGGTTTGAACCTTCTTATATTCAGAACAGGAGTTTGTTTGCATAAGGCTAGGCGCACACTAGCGATTATTTTGAGGCGACTATTTCATCGGCCGATCTGTGCATTATGTACTCGTATTTGAATGGAAGCGCGCACACAGGCGATCGAGAAATGAAATACGCCAATTTTAAAATCTGGGTTTTGCCACAGA